CTGGACAAAAAAGCCAGGCTTTCAATTTTCTGAAAGAAAATTTTCCAAAAGTCAGTGAGGCAAAGCTGAATGCAGGAATTTTTGATGGCCCTCAGATCAGAGAGCTTTTCAAAGATCCCAAGTTTGATTGCAGCATGGATGTAAATGAGAAGAAAGCCTGGCATGCCTTTAAGTCTATTGTCTCCAATTTTCTTGGCAACTACAGAAGTCCAGAGTATGGACGAGTTGTTGAGGACCTACTTCTGAGCTACAAAGTTCTTGGTCCATCAAGATGCACTTCCTCAGCTCCCACTTGGACTACTTTCCAGAGAACTGTGGTGATGTGAGTGAGGAACAAGGAGAACGCTTCCATCAAGATATCCGTGTAATGGAGGAGCGGTACCAGGGTCGCTGGGATATCAACATGCTCGCCGACTACTGTTGGTGTCTGAAACGGGACGCCCCAGACACCAACCACCAAAGAAATTCTCTGTGACAGCCATTTATGCATGTCTAACTGTAAAGGCATCTATGTAGTTGACATATTTTGGTCCTATGTGTTGTGGTTACATTTCTTATGATATATTTTGCATAAAAATCTTGACATCATATTTAAGAATTTCGATTTTTTCCTAATTCCCATAGCATAAAAATCTGACCTGATTGGGCAAAATGAATGGCATTTTTGGAATCAGCACGCAAAATACATAAAGAATCAGCTAAGAAACCCCGCACCTCATGATTTTTTTCAAATGCAGCCCAGTGTGGGAGTCAAACAATTACAGGAGTCAAACAGTTATGGAAGTCAAACAAAGTACAGATATTTCCTACGGCTGCAGCCCTGTGGAATGCTCTGTTAATGCAGTGGTCTGCTCTCAGGGGGAAGGTCCAGGGCAGCTTCCTCACTTGGCGCCGGCGTTGGTGGGCGATGTCTTGCCACACAGGAGAGACGCCAGGGCACCGACGGTAGATAGGGCGTGGAGGAAGTGGCGATGATGTGGCAGCCGCAGTAGTAGCTGGAGTAGGTGTCAGGAGATTGATAGTTGAATAGTGAAGGACTGGGGAATCAGCCCACGAGCCCCAGAAGCCTCAGATGAGTACACAACCAGAGTTGGATTCAACAGCGGGGAAAGTGCCCAGTTGGGCCGCGAACAAGCAAACGAGCAGCGGACAACCATCCCGCTCGTTACCGCCCTTACACTCGTTATCAGGTCATCCTATACCGCCAGGTCTCCAGGTAAGGTGAGGTCGCCCTCTGTGGGTACATTGTGTGAGTACACTGCATGTGAGGTCATGTAATTCATCCCTAAGCTTGTTACCCCTTCTCTCAGATGCCTCTTCAAACTATTAAAGTTTGCCCTTCTGAAATCTGGGACTTTAGTGGAATTTTCCTAGCAGCTGTCCTGAAATTCTAACTGGAATCTAATTTCTTTGTGATCTCTGTTAGCAAGTTTGTTCCCTACCTCGACATTACTAATGAGGTTTTCTCTATTTGACAGAATTAAATCGAGTGTATTATTAACCCGGGTGGGTTCGGTTATATGTTGGCTTAGGAAAAAGTCCTGGATTGTTTCAAGAAAATCCTCTGTTTCTGAGTTACCCGTAAGGTCAGTCCAATCTATTTGGCTAAAGTTAAAGTCGCCTACTATACAGACTTTGCTATGTATGGAAGCCCTGCCCATTTCATCCCAAATAAGTCGCTCATTAACTCTATCAAGATTAGGACGTCAATATATGCACATGTGCTGGTTGGCAGAGTTTATTGGGTCGGCCACTTCTGCTGACCCAGGCCCTCTTTCTCTGTCTTACTCCAGCCTTGCTTGAGGACAGAGGTCACTGCTTCTCCTTCTCTCTCTCTTTCTCTTTTCCAGGGCTTGGTTGAGGGTAGATTTCTCTGCCTCCTTTCTCTTTCTGAGCCTTGTGGCTTTAGGTTTGTGTATCCCTTCCTAGGGAATTTTAGGAGGGAGTCAGTCGTGCTTATGCTGAACTCCCAGTTAGGTAGGAAGTGCATTTATATTATGTCTTGTGACTTTACTTGTAAATACCTGTATATGAAAATAAGGTAGATTTCCCCAGGTGTTTCTGCTGGTCCTTTTCGCCCGATATAACTGATTATCTGGGAAAACCTAATGAGTATATCATGAAATCTATCCTACTTAAAGCTGGCAAAAGCAGTATCACTTTTGGAGTAAGTGTGGGTTTGGAAACACAGAGTTGTGATAGTATAGATAATTCTGCTTAGAATAAGTTTTATTGGCTGTGTAGAAAAGTGTATCAAACACCTGGATTAAGTGAATTTTATATGATTCTTAATACAGGATGATCATTTCTGTTATTCCAAGTTCTGTTTAAGTTTGTTTATAAGAACAAAGGACACTTCAGTAGGTCTGTTGGCCAATATGAGGCAGTTTCTGTTTTCAATTGGCCATTATCTCTCATATATCTGTCCAACCTATATACGAACCTTCCCAACATGTTCGTTAAGTTGTTCCACTCATCTGCAACCCTGTTTCCTAACCATTATTTACTTATTCCCTTCTTAGATCTAATTTGTCCTACGTACTAGCTACTGGTGTTTGTGTACATACGTTTATGTAGTAACTGGCTAAGTCTAAGTAACGGAAGGAGTGCAGGAGGGGAGGTCCCAGCACACACGGAAGAAGTCGGGTGTTGGGTTCAGACGAGGTCGCAAAAGCGTGATTTTTGCCAGCCAAGGTCGCCCACTGTCTACATTATTTCTAAAAATATCAGGTAATTCTCTCCTTGTGTTTGCCCACGAATATTTATATCGTTAACATATTATACTGGTGTTTTACGGTAATGCTCTTCGTGTCTCTGACCACGGACACTGATAACCAGCTAAAGATATCTGACTAAGAATTTTGAGGACTTCTTAATGGCCATACGGAATGTTTGGCGCATCCACATCTTTGCAAATTGATCGTAAAGTTGAAACATGAGAAAACGTTTACCATCAACTGTATTTAAAATCTCTGGATTGTCAGTAAGTGGAAAGAGAAACAAATTAATCGAAGGATAGTAATTTATTCCTACATTGATATCCTGATACTTCGATCACCTTCACATAAAATCTCCGCTTATCAGCGACCTCAGCTGAAATTGGCATATGGTAAATTGTGCTCTACTGATTGGTCAAGCTTGTTAATTACTGACCAATACTCGAATAACTACTAATCCTAATAGCAGCGCTCTCTCTGTCTCTCTCTTCTTCCCATTTTAAATGAATATATTCCACAATAGGACATGCATGCACCCAAATCTGTCATTTCTCCTTTTGTTTGTCTGATTCACTCAGGAACACCATCAGCAGAACCAATGAAATATACTGTATATCATCTTTGTTTTACCTTGCTGAGCCACCTTAAAAAAATCATAAGCTTCATGTCATCTGTCTCCTTTCTTTTTATTTGAGAGAGAGAAAATCTCAAATTAACAAAGCACAAATTGTGCTCGCGTCCGACACAGACACTGACGTCACGTGCTGTTTGGTAATTGGTACATACGCTCTCATGGAGAAATTATTAAACAAGTAGAAAGTTGGGTCTTGGGTCTATCAATTTGTAATGTTACGAGTCTTAACGACAACTCTTTATAGTAAAGTGTGATACTGACGCTGGAGCAACATTCAAGGCCCTCGTCCTCACAAACAGAGGCCTAAAGCTGATATCACAATCCCTTTCTGCTCAAGTTGGGAGACTGAGTCAGTGAGTCACCAAAATGTTAAGTGCAGGTGATGGAATCGTAATTAAAGAGTGGGTTAAGAACGCAAATTTTCAGAGCTTAGTGACCCTAAGTGTAAACTGAAGAAATTTGCTGAAGATCTATTTATGGTTGGTGGACCATGTTACGGGAGTAAAGAGAACTGCTGTTGTCAGAAACATGATCATGGTTACTCAAAATATCAGAAAGTTAAGAGACTCCAACGTTAAGTGAGTGAGCTAACACCTCAATGCTTTACAGAACACATCTTACAAACACATATCGAGGTGTAGACGTAAGCTGGTGAAGTCTCTTGCAGGAAGGACCGTCGACTGACCTGATAAATTGTTACCTTACAAAAGAACAGAACAAGACAGTGTCAGTACAGCTCTTCTTACTGTAACTTAACTCCTCTGTGAGCAACACATAAACCTACTAAGACGAAGCATCACACACACACACACTATCGTTTACTTTATATCACGTTTGTTTTAGTATAAAATAAGACAGGTTTTATTATTGGCCAAAACAGAAGAACAGAAGAATCATAATTAAACAATAATTGATATAGAATATTATGTGTGTTATAATGTTTCCCTTTCCTTGGGAACTTTCTAATGTGTGTGTATAAATAAGGATTTAAAGTAATAGTCCAAATGTAGAAGTTGTTAACATTAAAACAAACACTAATATAAATTTATTATCCATCGTCATCACCAGAACCAGAGGCGAGGCCACGCTGGACACATTTTAACCCCAGGATAAACATGCTTATCCGCATTCTATCATAATTACCTTCGTCATATTAAAATATTTTCGAGATATTTTATATTAAATAAATTGCTCAAAATGTATTTATACTTTTGGTTATACGAATAATTGCGATTTTTTTGTGATACATCTCGTCCCATCATGAACATAATTATACAATGTTATCTAATATCAGCATACTCTAACTTCTCAAGATTTCTTACAGTCTTACTTATTGTGCAAATCTTTAAAATTTTCGACACTTTCAGCCTGAATCCCTCTTATGGTTTATGGCAAAAGAGATATGTATTAATAAGTTTAAGGCTCCAATAAACTTTCATTTTATTTTCGACCAGCGCTACTAGAAGGTATTTTTACTCGTCCTAGGAAAAAAAACAGCGGGAATGAGCAGAGTGGGGGTGGCGGGGGTCGTCATGGTGGTGACTTACATCCGGTCTTGGCCGCCGCGCAGCGCCAGGCTCTTCTTTACATAACTGCGCATAGTTGCCGCTTCTCCCACATATAAGAGGGACAATTGTCGCCCCCGGGACTCCCTGTGTCTCCCCTGTGTGTCCACACCCGGCTCCTCAAGGTGAGACACTGCCTGGGTGTTGTGTGTCTGTAGTTTTTTCCCAAACGACAAAGTAAGGAGCCACAGCCAAACCCGCCTGATTGGTTCTCACAGCGTGACTTCACTTGATAACGATACTAATGTTTATTCTCAAGCATTGGATACAAACGGTATGGCGCTGAGTCTGATTGCAGTTTATAAGCCGATTTTCAGTAATTTAAAATTGCAAACCTTGCGATAATTAATTAAGAAATTACATTATACTGTAAACATGTGGGATTAAGACGTTCACCGAGAGGAATTATCAGTTTGTGAGTAAGACGTCACTAGGCCCAGGTATACATTTTTTGTTTTATGATAATATAATTACGACGTGATTACAGTTTGGTATAAGGACAAGATTTTGGAAACAAGGACATTACATTACAACAAGTAAGGAATATTTAGCCACAGGTCATCTCTTTACAGCAATTTTTTTTTTTTCATTGGGCACCCCCTACATCTTTGTGTAGGGTGAAGCGCAGAAGCGTTTACAGTGTCCAACAGGGAAGCATGCTAAGTTCATGCTTGCCTTTATGTCTCATGAGTTAAGGGCGTAGAAGCCTGAAGAGTCAAGGGCATAGAAGCCTGAAGAGTCAAGGGCATAGAAGCCTGAAGAGTCAATGATTTATGTCATCAAGTTATTGGAAGCTCCAACAACTTGTCTCTGAATACGAATTCGCAACTTTCGATTTACAACAGGTACCTACTTTACTGCTAGGTGAACAGGGACTAATGGGGGCTAGGAAGTATGTCCAAACAACTTCCACCGGCCCGGGAATCGAACCCATGACATCTCGCTTGCGAAGGCAAGAGCGGTACCACTCTACCACCAGCACCCCCATCTTTACAGCAATATAACTAAGACGCAGTCAGCACCTGATAATATGACAAGTAGTAAACAAACTCAATAGTTACAACTCTTTGTTAAGTAGACGTGATTCATAACGGTCTGGTTGAGCTGTGGCAGTGGTCTGTCCTGCAGCTGTGAGGGGCACCAGCTGAGCCTGAGGACATGTGTGAACTTGCACATTGGTTAAGTGATTTTCATTTAAAAATTTTGAGAGCATTCTGGTGTCAAGTCAGGTTTGGATAGGTTAGGTTTGGCCAAGTTTGGATAGTTTGGTGAGAGTATGTTAGGTTAGGTCAGGTCAGTTTCAAGTAAATGGAAATACCAGTGGTGGTGTGTGTAAGGTAGGCCAGGTCAGGTATGGATAAGCTGAGAAAGTAGTGTTAATGTGTGTATTACGATATGATTTAGCTGTGCTGACCTGATCAAGTGACGTCACAGAGTGTATCTAGACAATGAGATAGAATTGTATTCATCAACGTGTTGTTTGAGTATGAAAAGAAAATTATCGAATCAGTGTAAGCATAAATATACGATATACCTGACCATTAAATTAGCTTTTTATTTTTATCTGTTTTATCTTCTTCCTGTTTGTTTTTGCTCATCTTCCTACTTGTTTCTTAACGTCACTCCTCCTCTTCCCTGACTAGAAGTATTCAGTGAATTATAAACATATACATTCGCATACATGCACATATAGCCGAGGGCGTTAGAGTTATCACATCATGTCAGTCAATCAATATGGAAATCGTCACTGAGTGCTAACCAATACCGAGGGCGCTAGAGTTACCATATCCTATCAACCAATCAGGATGGAATACGTCACTTAGCGTTAGTCATTACCAGTGATGGCCGTTCACGATGCGTCCTTCACATCTCCGCTTGCTAATGTAAGTCACAGAGGACGTAATCAAGAATATAGTTGTGTGTACACAAGGATGAAGTACATTACTAATGTTGTGGCTGTGCGTTTTCCTCGAGGGACATAATAAACGCTATATTTGCTGTTGTTATAATGTTATTTCTGCACTTCAACAACGAAGGTCTTTAAGCGCGTAATAAGGTTAGTAATTACACTATTCTATAAGATAAACCTCTCGTCCTATTTTAATAAAGACTAACATCAAGGCACTTTGTAAACATTCCGTAGATTCACTGATAAAAATTTCCTCATGAAGCTATTTAGTGTCGAAAAATCAAATGAAAAAAACGAGTTTAACTAAACTCCTGACACGGATTTTTATAACTTTTCTGGCAGTCTGTACTCTAGAAGAGAGTAGAGCCTTCAAGAGAGCTCAGGCTCTCAACTGGCTCAGCCAAATCAGTATTATTATTATTATCGACTCTGTATCTGTCAGTCAAAATTTTAGGCGTTTCCCTGGAGGCGCGTAGTGACGAAGCCCATCACTGATCAGCCTAACTGAAAAATATCTCGTCTAACTCGACTTTAGCTAAATTTGTAACATAAACATACGTAATTACTCCAGTTAATGTAACTTCACTTGATCTAACCTAACCTCACTTGACTTAACTTAACTTGATCTAACGTTGTCTTAGTTAAAGTAACCAAACTTGATTCAAGTTCACCTAACCGGAACTAAACTTTGCCTAACCAAACTTATCAAATCTAACCTAACCTAACCAAAACTAAACTTTACCTAACCTAACTTATCCAAACTTGACTTAACCTGAAATAACTTTGACTAGGTTGGCGTAACCTACCTTGCCTTAACCTACGCTAACCGAAGATAGTATTATAGTGTTTATGGGATTTTGTCCTGCTGGTACGCTGATTCGTCCTTATCTGCCAAAACGTCCTTTAATTGGTAGATCTCTACCACGCCCAGTGATTGGTCCTATCCACCATGATGTCTTGGTAGACACACAAACACACCACACACATATGCACAGTATACATACACACACATATATACTGTACTTGCACAGTATATATATACATATATATATATATATATATATATATATATATATATATATATATATATATATATATATATATATATATACATATATATATATATATATATATATATATATATATATATATATATATATATATATATATATATATATATTGCTGATAACCACAGCTTAAGGCTTGTAATTATTTCAGGGTGAGTACAGACTAGTCTGTACTCACCCTGAAGATGTGAACTACAGAAAGCGCTTGAACTGTTTTCTTCTTTCCTTGTGTTATGCATATACCTAGATCACGCGCACCTACAGTGATTTATTTATATATATATATATATATATATATATATATATATATATATATATATATATATATATATATATATATATATATATATATAAAAACGTTCGGTGTTTTTAGGGTGAGTACAGACTGATATGAATATCCCCATTATATATATATATAACTTCAGCAATAGACTTGTTACGTGGAAAATGTATTTTTATAATGAAGAGGAGAACCAGGGTAAACACAAACATTTTGAAGTAGGGCTACTTTTAATTGCTTACGTTTCGGAAATTGTCATTTTCCATCATCAGAGCCTAAAAAAAATTGAAAATTTTTAAAAATACAGGTGATATACAATAAAAACATAATATTATGCGAAAAATTACCTTCGATAAACTTCAAAAGTTTAAAAAAGAGCAATCCACCTCAAAACCGACAAAAATGACGAGAGACCTACATACAAAGCTAAAATCAGGAAATTAAAAGTATGAAATAAAATGAACATGGGGGTAATACCTTAATTCAGACGAGCCTTAATGTGAAAAACATAACAATTCACTAGAGGCCATATCACAAAGCGATGGCTTTTCTTTGTACTGGTGTAATGCCTCCATAATGAGGAGGTCTGTATCACACTCGCTCTTGCCAAAACTTTTTTAGGCTCTGATGATGGAAAAGGATTATTTCCGAAACGTTAGCAATTAAAGAAGCCCTACTTCAAGATGTTTGTGTTTACCCTGGTTCTCCTCTTCATTATATATATATATATATATATATATATATATATATATATATATATATATATATATATATATATATATATATATATATATATACTAGCAGAATCGCTAGGCAACGATAGGACGCTACCCTCCGGGAGGCTCCACATTGTCTCTTTGTTCAGTCCCCAAAACTTCTTCTTCCATCAATAGTTCATTAACGGTGTATGTAAGTTTCACCATGTTTTTCACTACAACGGTACAGCAAAGTATATTTTTTTTTGCATTAAACTGTTATTATTTTATTGTCTAATCATCACTACATATAACACCACCCATCATCACTACATATAACATCATCCATCATCACTACATATAACACCACCCATCATCACTACATATAACACCACTCCATCATCACTACATATAACACTATCCATCATATACCACCATCCATCATCACTACATATAACACCACCCATCATCACTACATATAACACCATCCATCATCACTACATATAACACCATCCATCATCACTACAGATCGGTAAAGTAGTTTCCGAGATTCTCGTGCAGACATACAAACACACAAACACACATAATGCCTGTTGAGAGCTATAGGATTTAGTTACCAGAGAGTCAAATTAGTAAACCAACATATGTATCGAATTCTGAGAGCGATGAGAGTTGTGGCCATTGTGTTGTGATCCCGTGTCAGTGGAACAAAGAAAACTTGGTATTGTTGTAGGAAATACTGCTGGTGTGTAGGGGGGGGGGGGTCGTAGTGCATGGCAGTGATGGTAATGGTAGTGGTGGCAATGGTAGTAATGATATTGTTACTGAAGGTAGTGGCAATGGTGTAATTGGTAGTGGTAGTGGAGCGATGTAAACGGGGATGTATATAGGATCGGAAGTCAGTGTTTGTGCTGGTAGCGGGAGTGATGGTAATACTGATAGTGGTGGTGGTAGCCGTAGTAGTTGAAGTATTGATAATAGTAGTAATGGTAGTGGGGGTGTCAATAGGAGAAGTATTGGTTGTTGTAGTGGTGGTGACGATAGTAGTAGTAGGGGAACGAGAGCATCGGCCCAAAAGCAACAGTCACTGAATGCCACATAGATCTGCGGCTCAACTAACTCAACACAGCTAG